TTTTTTTTTTCTTTATTTATTTGTTGTTTTTATATTCAATCACATTCTGAGACAAAGAAAAGATATAAAGACCAATGTTTGCACTTTGGTAATCTTGTTTACCCTCACTGGGACCAGGGTTGTCAGACACAGCCTGGATGGGCAAGCTGGCTGAGCTTAGGGATCAGGTGAGGTTGCTCCAAAGGGAAGCACTAGCAAAAACAGTCTAGAGAGAAGACAACTAGAAGAGACTTGATGGAGGTGCAATGGGGGAGGTCAAGCAGCATTAGTAAAACTCTCAAACAGCAAATAGTACAAAAAATGAAAGAGTGCTGTGTGTATTTCAGACTGACATGTTGTAGACCTGTGTTATGCATACAATTAGGTCCTGAAAGAATTCCTCTTATTTTAGGCAAAATCATGTACACAATGATGATTTTTAATGATGCTAAATATTATTCTCAGAGAAGGGATTTCATCTGAACTCTAAAAGAAAATACAGCAAGAACTCAAGAGGTGGTTAGTAGATCGAGGTATAAACTAAAAAAGGCAAAATCTCAAAATTTTTCAGTCATCCCAAATTCCCACCACACCAGATTTTATCAAAAGCCCAGACATATGTGTATAAATTTACTTGCTGCTGGCGTTGACACAACATGTGATATTCTATGCATCTTGAAAAGGATTGTTTCATACACCCTGGGATTACAGATTATCTGTAAAAAGAGTTTAAAAAGAAAGATTAGTCTGTTTTGTTTTTTTTTTGTTTCTAAATCAGGATATGTAAGATATAATCATGAATATGTATCACATTTCTAGTTATACTATAGGCCACTAAATATTCTCCCTTAGGCAAACCCATGTTGATTCCAGGGCAAATTTGTTTGAAAAGGAAAGTATAAGTATACTTCAGCATCAATTAAGTTAATTACAATTTTTTAATATTTTGAGAGCGAAACTCCTTCCCAGCTACTGAAACCCATAACAATTACATTGCACTTGGTTTTCTCAGTTATGAAAATACAAAGCAGCAATCACTGAAAAAGAATACCTTTTAACAGCTTATATAAGATACTGCTTTCATTAGAAAGTATTGACATATACTGGAGCGAAGGGACAGAACAAACCACCGTTTTTCTATTGCTATTTTGAATTATCACAAATTTACAAGTGAGGTATGTCTTTGCAGAACTCTTGTTTATCTGCTGCCGTCCACTACAGCAAAACTTAAGGTAAAATTGAGTATATGTTTATGATAGAAAGTGAGAGAGATCATACATATGTAAATATACCAGTGGGAGGTGGTGAACTTCTCTCTTGAAGAACAGTTTATGAGTAGTTGCAATTTGCAGTGCAACATTTTTCTCTGTCATGAGTTTACACAGAATTGCTTTTAAACTATTTTAAGTAATGCTAATGTCAAGCTTGTATAAACAGTCATATGCTTAACAGGCAGTCCAATAGGTTGTTTCTCTACCCTCTATCATGAACATGTTGGTTTGTACATTAACAAACAGGATTCTTGAAAATCCTAATTAGATCAACACGAAAACTGGAGGAAGCATGTAAACACCATGTTGTAGACAATGCTGCATAGTGCTCTACTTGTATTTAATGTTACATTTCTGAGCTATTAATAGTGTTACTACAGTAACACTATAAGCAAGCCAAACGGAAGTATCCCAACCGCCACTGCATAGTTAAGCAATAGGATTATATGTGTAACCCACAAAAAGAACATCGATACGGAACCTTTAAACTAAACTAAACAAAAAGCCAACATCTTTAAGAAATCTTACTAAGAGTGAAACATAGTAAATATTTTATGTCAAGAATTCAAATCAAAGTTTAAGTCAAAACACTCCTTGTTCTGAAATTTCAAGACTTCCAAAAGCCCAAAAGCCCAAAAGATTCAGTCTCATTGTCATAACATAAAGTCAGTGTGCTAAACCGTCTATTTTAATCATCTTTCCCTCTAATAATCAAATTAATCTCTAAGCTAATGATGCCCTCAATTGGTAGCCAACAGTCCTGTGTGCATGTTTACACTGTAAATGTTTACAGTGGCATGTACTAAAATATAGTTCTAACTTAAAATAGTTGAAGCCTAGGCAACTAGTTTTATTCTCTTGTACCTACCAAACATAAATCTCTACAGGAAACACTTTTATTTGTTCATAAATAGCAGTCCTTTTTTGAAAAACATTCCAGTCTTCCCTCCCTGCATGTAGCACCAATAACGTTCACAAAATGCAAAGCTTCCTGAACAGCAGAATATAAATCAATCCAAACCTTAGTTCCTCCTTAGCTGACCAATGTATTAAAACATAAATATGTGTAAAATCTTCCAAACCTGGAAAATCCATTTCACTATTAACAAATGTATAGAAAAAAGTTTCTCATCAACAACTCTGGGACGTAACTGTAGGGTGCTCTTTCGGCAGCTTTCTGGAACAGAATAGCGCTGGGTTTTCCGAAAGGCAGGTCTATGAAGTCCCTTGTTTCCCTTTGAAAACAGACTGTGCAATCAGAAGCACAGAGGCAGAATGAGGTCATGCTTCCTGTTAAGTGGCCTCACATCAGAAGCACTCATTTTGAAGAGCAAACTGAAGATTAAGATTAGTCCAGCGAACTCTGCTGCAGATTGTTGCAGAATGCGAGAGCTATAAACAACAATTTATTAGTTATGATATGGGGAACAAAAACTGTACCTTTTCTCATAAAGAAAAGTGATAAAGATTTTTGTTTCAGCTTCACTTTTTCATCTCACTCAGAATACTTGAAAGTGAAATATCCAAATCAGTCCATATACTTGCTAAGGTAGCCCATGAGCTTATCTGTAAGACTTGAAAAGCTTTGATGCAGGAAAACCATCCACCTACCAAAAAATCCACGCACAGTGACAAGATCATTTGCAAAAGCACTATTATACAGAAGAAGCATTTGGTGAGAGTTCAGAGTTCACGGAATTTCATAATTCAAAAAAATTATTGCAAATATCTACCATGATAAAATAAAGATAAAATTATCTGGAAAGGAAAAAGGAAAAAGGCCATTTGTAATCACATTCCTTGTTCGACTGCATATATTTCACACCATGTAACGTATCAATTAATCCTACCCTGAAGTACACCAAAATAAAGTCAATTCTACATGAGAAATGCAGTCTGAATAAGATATCCTATCAATCAAGATGACTTGGCTATAGAACTGCTACGCAACAAAAGTGATCTAAATAGACAGTTAAGAATGAGACAGCTGTAGGGAGCAAAACTTCGTCTTCAGACAAATGGATAAAATAAGCTAGTAGGTACCTCTCTTGATGGCTGGATGCATCACTGAAAAAAAAGCAAACAAATCTAATAGAATATAGAGATAAATGTACGATTTAATGACAACTTTCTCCTTGGAGAAAGGAAAAATACCTCCACTGACAGCAAATAAATGCAAAATTCTCACCAAACAGAAAAGGAAATAAAAAGACATTAGGCAATTAGGATATTACAAAAGAGTTCCTGTATGGGAGTTTATCTAAAATGAACAATTAAAGGTCACACAGAATCACACAGAATCACACAGAATCGTTTAGGTTGGAAGGGACCTCTGGAGATCATCTAGTCCAACCTCCCTGCTCAAGCAGGGTCACCTAGAGCATATTGCCCAGGATCACATCCAGACGGGTTTTGAATATCTCCAGCGAAGGAGACTCCACCACCCCTCTGGGCAACCTGTTACAATGCTCTGTCACCCTCACAGTGAAGAAGTTTTTTCTCAGGTCCTTTTGCTCAAAAGTGGAAACAGAGGGTCATGTTCATTCCCCACATCCCTTCTTCTCATTTAGTGGAATGAAATTTCCTCATACCAGGGAGGAAATTTAGTCCAACAGTCCATGGATGCATGAGCTCTGTCCGCCTGTGCAAGACTTCCCAGGCGACCCTTTCTGTCTACAGCAAAACAAAGACATTGGACGTACATTCCCAATGGTGTTTAAAACTAGGTCACTTACTGAAAATATATTCCATAGTATAATCTATGCATCTTCAGTATTCCATACTGAAGATGCATATATTCTATATATACATGAATTATCAGGGCAGGTTACTTCTTGGGAGTGTTTTATTTTTGGTTTCTCTTCACCTTTTTCTCAATAGGAAGTATTTAATTTTGAGCTTTCGCTGTTTTTTGGAAGTATTTTGGCCTTTGACTATAGTCAGCTTTGGTTGACTATGTAGTTAAAACATACTAACTAGTGACTAACTACATTCGTATATGAAAGTCACTGTTCCAACAGTTGTTGACGCATAACCTTTGTGTATTGGTGAATGCACGAAAATCTTCCGTGTAAGAAATTACACTTCCTTGGCAGATATTACATGAAGATGGTTGATATTTTTGTACAGAGCTTCAGGTATAGCAGAGTTTTATAGGCAAGTGCTACCCCATGATTTATACATAGACAAAGGCTTATATACAGCTGCTCTTTTACCATCCTTGTTGTTCCTCAAAGCGCCTGCTCCATCCAAGGCCCCGCTTCTGCCTTAAGATTACAAATTCTAGGAAATCAATATACCAGCAATCTGGCTGTGCAGGACTTATATGTCTATTACATACTAACATGTTCAGTCCACAAAAGGAAGGAAATGAGAAACTGCAATACAAAATACCACGTATCTTTTTAATAGGGAAGCTTATCTCCTCTCTTCTCCTCATGACAGCATACAGCGCATAGACCTGTAGACCTTAGAATTAGCTCTGAGCTTTCTGGCACATCCACGCTGCTTCAGTCTGAAAAATAGCTTACCTCCAATAATGCTATGAGAGCTACCCCCATGTTACACTAGTAGAGATGGGAAAAAAAAAGCGTTTAGAAAGGATCTAAATCAATCAGGCCTGCAATATACAGCAATAGTTATCTGTGCAAAGCCACAGCCAGTGTCCTCTCTCCTTGTTCTTTGATACAGTTTCAGAAGGAAAATTGGTAGTTATATAACTTGATTTAGATATAGGAATAAGTTTGAGAGGAATTTTGTACAATGCCACATCAATATGCAAGATCAATAGGAAAGCAAACATAGAGAAAAGAAGAGAAAGGCTTCTATTAGAATCTGCAGCTCCTTTGAAAAAATACTTTGAAAAAGTACTGTTCCTCTGAAAACTACCTTAGCAGACAAAGAACACAGAAGGAAGAGGCTATTACCCCAAATCCATCAGTCAAAGCGGAAGGCAAGGTCCAGACAGAAATGGTTCACCCTCTTTATAAACTTTCTCACAAGAAGATGTGTGAATACTGGCCATCACTAAACAGGAAGGAGGAACAAACAACAAAAACATTTTTACTGTATTACCTAACTGTCTTAGTTTCTTTAAGTATTACAATATTTCATGAATTGGCACTTTGAAATGTTAGAGATGGCCTGGAGAGAGCCAGTGGCAAATATTTTCCTGTTGGCCAAATTATGTTCTAGCTGCATCTTACTGCAGAGAAACGCGATAGAAACATTGACCCATTGATCATTGGTCTGAATGGGAAATGAATGGGAATGGGGGTGTTAGGGAAAGGACTACATGAATGGCATGTGTTTATGGTGTCTAGACTTGCAGGTCATCCAGATCCCAGCATGTGTGCATGGAAAGTCTCAGGATACCCAGACTGGGAGTAAACGTGGTGGGATAGTATTGAGAGATTGACCACTGTCACCTGGAAAGGATACAGAAAGGCACATAAAAAACCCAACACACGGTCGCCAACCTAAGAACCTAGGAGACGTGAAGACTCAATTACCTATACAGCATGTCTTCCATGTCAGCTCAGGTAATACTGGATGCCCCACCTGGATAGTAGCATTTCGGTGCCCGAAAGCTAAACAGACCACCAGGTTACGCACATACTTAGCGCACCCACTAGGTTCTCTATGTGGACAGATAAAATCTGAATCTCTGTTAAGGAGTTTTCTTGCTCCTTTGAGTCCCATAATGAAAATAAATGCTCCTCTGGAGGTGGTGATGTATTGCTGATCAGTGTACCTGAGACACTGGCCAATTTCTATGACAGCCTTGATGTAATCTACGTGGACCAACAGTAGAGGATCTTTCACTGACGTGCAGTGAAGGCTTCTGGAAATCATATAATTCTAAAGAACTCTTAACATATACTAGGAATACATAATTGGGAAGATTTTGGTAACATTGGTTCATAAGACGACACTGGTTGGTAAAGTACTGATGGTGCTGATGTCACCATCGCTTCTGTAATAAATCACACTGTTAAATGCATCAATGAAAATAGCAGCTGGCAGTGGTGCTCTAACAAGGCTCTTCAAAATGCTATTCTTCCATGTGGATTTATGCAGCACCCTCATCAGTCAGGCTCTCTGCATGTAAATAATGGCTGTATATTGACAGGGACCGAGACTCTTGCTGTCTGTATGCCAGTATTTAAGCAAAGTCTACTTTGTTAAGCGTGCACAGAGGGTCCACAGGCCTTTCTGTCACTCTTTGCATTTCTTCTTGCTATGCTCGTGCCATCTTTAACTGTCATTTTTCCAGCTGAACTCATGCTGATGTCCTGGACTAATTCAACTGCTAGGGACAAGAAAAGGCACAGGCAGCCTTGGTATCCAGGGGAGAATCATGATACATTGCACTAAACTGTGGGTTTACAGCTTGGATGCTATCCAGTACTGCATAAAGATCAAGGATTTAAATGTGGCCTAGCAGGCAATCGAGGACAGAAAGCAGAACTATGATAGCCCTCCAGGAACCTGTCCATGGGACACCAGCACAGACCCAGCTCAAGAAACCAGTGACTCCTCCCATATGCTTGACACTTTGCAGACATTTTACAGGCAGGGTTGGACTCTCAGGGCTAATCTCTGTGTTGACAACCACCCTTCAGCCCCTGAGCACACACAGGACCACAAAGGAGACAGGAAAGCATTGCACTAGTTTTAAAAGGGAGCTGTATTGCCTGCCAGTAGATGTAATGTATTTGTTTTTATTCTCAATGCTGGACTCCATCAGCTTGGACAGATGTGAGTTTGCTTTCCCTCGGTCCCAGCTGCAACTTCCCTCTGTACACTCATAACAGCAATCTGAACTGCAGGTAGCAAAGCTGTACTTGACAGACTGCATGTTTTGCAGTGATCTGCCTGTTAGGCACTGTATTTCAGTCTCTTTTTCTCTTAAAGTACTCCCCGAAATCCCTGTCACTGAGCTCCACGTCCTGCTGCTGAGTGCTCAAAATGGTAACTCCAACACAGTCATCGTCTTGCCAGGATATTCCTTCTGTCCCATTCCCCTATTCACTATGAGCTCAGTTCTCAAGAAAGCGAAATTATGAAAAACTTACCAGTGGGATGTGTTTGTGAGTCAAGTCGTCTGTTGATCCATCATAAAGTACATGCTGAATTTCAGTCCTACAGGGAAATAATCCAGGAAATCAATATGCAATCAGAGCAGGTATTACAAGTTTTTGCTTCAGTACTGTTCTCACCAAGGCCTTAAAAAGAACTCCGTAAAATATTTACTGATATGTTCCAATCTACAAAAAACTCCCTAAAACTAAAACACAACCCAAAACATATGGCTACAATATGTAAGGCAGAAGCAAGCAACACATTGCACAGCAGTTTCCAAGGCACAAACACAATTAAATCTCAAGAGGTCCAACATTCATTGCGAAAGAATATTCATAGCACGGTGAATGCTGAGTATGCTCCTAAGGGATATTAAAGGGATATCTAGAAAGCGTTTAGCAAAGCTGCCATCATCCAGAACGGGCAGCAGCTCCTTCCAGCCATGCTACCGCACAGGTCTGGGACTCTTTCACTACTGTTAGACCTACGTGTAAAAACACAAATTTTGTTACTAACCTGGCCTCAGCAGGTCTCATTTCTAGCATCCTCATCTTACCACACTTCAACTTTACAATAACGCTAGTATTATATGCTAGCATGCTAGTATGTTATTATAAGCTATGTGCTAGTATGGGGCCAAGCTATGACTCTTGCCTTATAGCTTCACATCCCCTCTCTTAACATGCAGTGAAATACAGTGCTGTGGTTGCAATACCTGTACAGCAAACAGCCAGCTCTCTGGGAGAAACCATTTCTTGTGTTAACAACATTCTGCAAAGAATCACAGTGTAACTGGGTAAAGAATTCCCAGCTTCAGAGTCTTTCAAAACTGGAGAAGACTGGGGTTGGTGTCCCAAACCTACTGGGTTACTATTTTGTTTGGTTTCCTTGGCAATGACTCTTAGCTACTTTTTATTCCCGTATAAGGTCAGAAGAAACTTCAAAACTCAGCCACCTCAGGATATTTCCCAGCATCTGGAAAATTTAGGGTTTTAAAAGGAAAAGAAAGGAAGTGTTTGGTGAGATAGTGGAAAACTTCACAAAATGAGGGAGGGAATTTCTAGAGAGGAGGGAGTTTCCGAGATGAAAGAGAAGGACAGACAAATTGAAGATGGGGGCAAAGTAACTGAAGAGCTGCCAGACAGGGTGTCAAAGTGGACATAGGAGGTGGCAGCAGAATGACAGATGATGACAGAATAAGGCCAGGCTATGACTAAGCTTCCTACACAAATCGATAGAAACGGACAAAGATGCTGCTGCATAATGTTTGCTAGGCAGTCACTGTTGGCATGAAGGCACCATTTAAATACAAGCACCGGCAGTCACTTTAAATTTTCCCTGCTACAATAACAAGGGTAAAAACAAAGATGAAGTTTTATTTAGCTCAGTGTCATCCTGTGGCCTCAGTATCTGTAACTTAAAAATAGTTCTTTTATGGACTAATCCCAGCAGCCACAAATAAAAGAAATGGGAAAATAAACCAGCAGCTGTCTGGGCCTCTTATCATAGTACTGTTTTCCCAGTTGTTTGATCATTCTCCCAGACCTTTTCTGAACCTGCCTGATTTTGGATGGTCTTTCTGAACTGTAAGGCTATTTAATAATGGTGCACCGGTGCCAAGCACAGAGATAATGTCACCTCTCTACTCCTACTCAGTATTTCCACGTACATGTGCTTTGCAAAGACTGCATTCGCCTTTTTAGCATCAACAGCACACCATGAGCTCATGTTCAGCTGATCATGAACTCCTCTCTTCCCCCTCCAAGTCTCTGTGAGTCACTGACTGGCAAGATAAAATCTCCTGTCCCGCTTGGTTTTCAATTTATGGTCTGTGTAATAGTCACACAACGCTAAAGCCATGTGCTTTGCGACCAGTTTAAACAAAACATTTTGTGAGGAGCATAAGGAATGGAATCTGTCTTCCTGCATCTCTCTGCTTTGCGATGTCCTGATGTCTAAAACGGTGTAAGCACCTGAGCCTCTCGGTCTTGGAGAGATCAACACGGTCACTTTTGCCTGTGCAGCTGGGTATTTTCACAAAACAGGCCGGAGTAATTATGAGATTTCTGTCTGTCGAGCTTGAATGAAGGAGGACAAAAATTTCAGACGTAAATCGGCAATGCAGACTGGCAACATAGTCATGCATGCCTCATTTTCTTCAGCGACAAGACTAAATAGCCAAAACTTTTTTGTGCTTAAAAATAAAAAGTATTGGCTGAAGTTACTCACTAGTTTTACTGTGGAAGATATTATTAGCTGTATTTTATTGGCTTTGCAGGCTTAAGAACATCATCCGCGCAATGCTATGCGCCAGCCCAGGTGTGATGGAGAGCTGGAGACACCCCGGATCCTGCGATCCCCCTGGGACACCCCACCGGGCACACCCGTCAGCCAACACGGGCCTGGGACAGCATCAAGGCAATGGAAAAACAAAGGGTTTTTTTTTAATTATTTATTTATTTTCCACGAGGCTCCTTCCTCCTTCAGTCTCCCCTGCTCACTCCTATTACCTTGAAGTGAGAATAAAAAGATTAAAAGGCAAAAAAA